CCCCCCCCCCACCCGAATCTAACAAGTCGTCGTGATGATCGTCGATGTCGTCTGACGTTGCCGCACCGTCGATGCAGTCCCTGACGTCCCCGCTGGCGCCTCTGCCGCGTCCCACCGATGTCGGCCACGCCTCTGCCCCCCGCGGAACCCGGCCTGTCGGCCTGTCGTGGCGCGGAGATCGATGTCGGTCTTGCTCGGCCGTGTACGGTCGTGCTCAGCCGTGTTCAGCCGTGTTCGACCGTGTTCGGCCGCGGCCGGGCACTAAAATGGCCGCGCGCGGCGATGGCAACGGCCGTCGGTCGGGCACTAAAATGGCCGCGCGCTGGAAAAGGCCGCGCGCGGCGATGGCAACGGTCATCGGGCGGGCACTGGCCGACGTCGAGGCGCTCTCCCGCCTGGTCGCGCGGCGCACGCCGCTGCCAACTGCGCACCAAGAAGAAGAAGAAGAAGCTCTCTCTCTCTCTCTCTCTCTCTCTCTCTCTCTCTCTCTCTCTCTCTCTCTCTCAGCGTGCGAGCAGGCAGTTCGGCAGCCTAACAGCAACAACAATAACTGTTGTCGTTTGAGATAAATGCCAGCATTTCTCTGAAACGGCAACAATTTTGTCGTGGCTTGGGCCTGGACCCACCGCCCTCCTCACACTGTCCAGTGCCCACACGGTGCCCCTCACCCACTGGCACCGAAACAAGGCCAAAACGACCCTGTTTTTTTTCGGTTTTTTTTTTTTAGTTTTTTTTTTTCGGCACCGCTCGGAAGGTCTGACACCCAAAAAATAACTATGAGTGTGCAGGGTTTTTCAGCCCTACACGCCCATTTTTTTTTTTTTTTTTTTCACATTAAAAATGGGAGAAAAAAATCATGTACGGACCTCGACTGGTCGGCCCAGGCCGAACTGGGCCGATTCGGACCCCCCGGCCGCGGCCGGGCGTGCAACATAGCCCCCAAGGGGTCAAAATATACGCCGAGGTGCTGCAGAAAAATTCGAATTTCAGAATAAATAAAAATAAATCAGAAAATGAGAAAAGAAGTAGGGAATAAGATAATTCGAATTTTGGGGGAAAAAATAAATTTTAAATCAAAAGAGAAAGGAGAAAAACAAAAAATTCGAAGTTGGGTGGGGGGGGATGGAAAAGTGATGAAGACAGAGAGAAATAGGTGAGAAGAGAAGGAAAAAGTGAAGTGGGGGATGGGGAAGATGATGGGGTTGTAGTTGGGGGAGGGAAGGAGGAGAGGAGGGTGGTAAAATGGGAGAGAAGGTATGGAAAAGGTGGAGAGGAGTAGATGAGATTAGTGGGAGATGGTGAGTGGGGAGGAGAGGAGAGAAAAAGGTTGAGGAAGATGAGTGGAGAGGAAGGTAGGAGTAGAGAGTAGTGGTAAGGGGGGAGAAAAGATAATTAGATGATGTGGGGGAGGAGAGAAAAGAAGTTAGGGGAGAAAGGGTTAGTGGTAGGATGGTGATACCGAGCTCTTGGGTGGCCAAGAGCAGAGCACTACCAAGATCCACAGGATTTTGGCCTTGAAGAAAATGTTAGGGTGGGCTGAGATCTTGATCAGGCACCCAGATGCTCCTATAGTGCAGCCCCCTAGCCAGGGGGGTCTCAAGATCCACGGCAAGCTGCCACATGGCACTGCGAAGAGGCAGCACGTGCCAGCCACGTGTGCAGGCAGGAACACCCACCGGGGGGAGGGGGGGGGCAAATAGGTTTGCCGCACGCTGCTCGCTGCTCGCCGACGGGGGGGGGKGGGGGGTGGTAAATAGTTGTTGTTCCACCTCTTTAACAGCAGCAAGCCACAGTATTAGCTCATACTGTGGCTTTGGCCAGTGTGTTAAAACACTGGCTACGCACGCACATGAGCAGCAACTGCCCAGGTTCAAACCCTGGCAGCTGCACTCTTGGATCTTAATACAATATAATCCGGGAGCGGGGCGGGGCGGAGCAGCGCGGGCAGCGTGGGCGCATGGCACGCGCGCGTGTACAGCGGCCGCGCTTGCGCGCACGCGTCGTGATGGCACTCTCCTTTTCCGCCACCTGTCTTCTCTCCACACTGCTTTTCTTTTCACCGTTTTTAAAAGCAGCGTGCAGAGAAGACAGGTGGCGGGAAAGGAGAGTACCATCACGGCGCGTGCCCGCAAAAGCGCCAGGGCCAAGGCCGCCGCACGCGCACGCGCCCACGCTGCCCCCCC